ATTAGGAGAATGTCCAAAAAAGGATAAAAGAATGACTCCCTTGATCTCTGTATTAATCTCAGTTCACATACTTGGTCAGTCTGTCAACATTTTCATTTTTGAATGCAAATCTTTATTTTGTTTGTAATTTTACGTATCGGGTGAAAAATATGTTCTATCAACATAATTGCTGAGGAACTCTTAAGATCCCTTACACCTTTAACAAAATGAAACAAAACTCTCTGACTGGCAGTAGACACCTTTTCTTAGCTCTGATCTGACTGAAATCAGAGAGAAGGACATGATCTTACCAATCACACCCTAGACTTCCTCTGAGGACTCACTCAGATCCAATTATCCTAGAAATTCTGACAGCTTGAGAACTCAGGCAGAGGTAAAATTTCAAGCAAAATCTAAAACATCTAGTTAAAAACATAAAACAGACTATTTCTAGGATGGTAACCCATATGCTGTATTGTAGATTTATACATTCTGTTTGCTTCTGTAAGATTAGCATTAATATATTTATAAAAGAAACAATAAGATATTCTATATGTTCAGTATGCAACTATTTATAAACTCCAGCTACAGGATATCACCATGGTAACAGGAATATACAAACAGCCCAGTCCTCCATGCTATGATAGAAGCATTACTAATTTAAAGAATGCGATATGTTTAAGACAGGCAAAAATTAGTTCACAATATAGTCGTCAACCTGCTCATAAACAGGAGAAAGAGGAGTATTTGAAATAGCAGATAGAAGAAAACTGAATCATTCCACTGGACAGTGACTTACAATCACTCTGGAAGTTGAACGAATGAATGAATGAATGAATGAATGAGTGAGTGACTGAATGAGTGAATGAGGCAAAAGAATGAAAAAACAGAGAGGAAGAAGATTCAGGTAGAATAGCTATTGTGTCAAAATGACAGTGTGATATTTGTTTATAACCTCAGCTGTTAGAACTGAATAGTATCTATAATTTGATATTTTGCACATTTATATTCAGTCTTCAGTTTGGAATAAAGAAAGATATGTTAGATCAGGTCACCGATTTCAAAGAGCATGTGAGCATGCATGTCCATTTATTATTTCACTTAATATTTACTGCGTGTGTTTATGTACCAGGAAAACACAAAAAGAAAGAAGACATTGACACTGGCCTTAAGAATTAATAGTCTAATGGAGAAGGCGGTCCTCTAAATAAAACAAAACAATCTCGTGTAACTCCTGAGACAGAGGTACATATAAAGTGTTATGAGAACATAATGTCATAGCAACGTTTTTCCCAATTAGAGAGAACTGATGCTTCAATCTACACTAAAATTGAGGTTTTACTGAAAGTTAAGTGGCAGGGATTTATGAAATATTATAAAATTTACAATCTGTTTAATTGACTAGAAGCAGATAAGTGCACATGAAGACATTTAGTTGAAATATGATTCCTCAACTTACAAACAAATAATTACGAGTTGTTTAAATTTCACCAATATCTCACAACTGCCAGAGGGAAGGAGAGAAATCTGCAGTGGCGCTTTAGGAAATGACCTCGGGGACTGCCAACTAAGCCGCTGAAGGGGGGACTTCGGAACAATGAATATCTGAGACCACCAGTCTTCTCTTGGTAAACTAAAAAGAAGACCAGTATAAAAACCTCTCAGCAACCTGGACAGAAAGCTCCCCAGTGTGCCACGGAGAACAGAACATGCCCGGTCTTGTGAGTGGGTGAGAAGAGGTGGGTAGACCACGAGAGTCGCCCTGAACATTCTGCTGCGCACCTTAGGTCACCAGTGATTCCCTTCGGTTGTCGGGGCCACTGCTGAGCAGGGCTCAAGCTTCAACATACTTCAGTAGGAAACAGACCAAGATGGCAACTTTCCCTAAACTCCTGGAGGGCAGCTACTGTTACCCGCAAGCCGTTAAAGGATATAGAGTTCTTGAAAGAATTCCTCTTAAGACCCCGCTCTCCTCCCCTGACATCAATCACTGAAAGAAGAAAATCCATTTAGTAAAGAAAAGTGAAATGCCTTTCTCCTAACTAGGAAACATTACCTCCTAGGTCATGTGAACTACTTGAACTGCTGTATGTTTCTTAACGACTTTTCTGTTATTCCCTATTATCCATGCATTCAATAAACATTCTTTATATGCTTGCTGTGTCCTAGACCTGAGTCTTGCAATCTTTTTTTAAAGGGCTAGATAGTAAATATTTTAGGATTTGCAAGCCAAGCCAAGATGGATGAATAAATAAATAAATAAATAAATAAATAAATAAATAATCAAGGAAATTATGTAGGTACTTATAAGCTCATTTAAATATATAGACTTATAAAATGTAAAATCATTCGTAGCTCACAGAAAAACCAAGAAAAACAGGCCACAGCTTGCTGATTCCAGTGCTAGATCACTGTCAAATATCCAGGCCAAGCTAAGACCATTACGTTATCAAATTAAAAGGAAAGGTCTTTTGCATCAAGACCTAGCTTCTTCCGATAAGAGCCTACAAGGATGATCTAAGAAAGCTCTGTCCAACAGAACTATCTATTGGAGAATAGATATTTCTATTATATCAATAATATATATCTCAATACCTATCGAAAATGTTCTATATCTGTACAGGTCAATAGGTGGCCACTAGACACAAGCGGCTATTGAGCATTTAAAATATGTTCAACGGCACTCAAGAACATTTTATTAAACTTTAATTATTTTAAATTTACATTTGAATTAGCCAAATATGGCTAGTATACCGGAAAACAGATTTAATAGTCATTATGTATCAATTGGCAGGTCACAACTTAATTTTGTTTGGGTTTTTGGTGACCTGTTAGGTAGGTGTGGGTGTAAATATTTTTATAGGGCATAAATATTTTTAGAATTTTGTTTTTATCAACAGATCAAATTTAAATTATTTTTAACTTCTGGTTAAAATTGTATTGGGGGTCAGTCATTATTCATGATATACATTATATTATAGAACTGAAAAGACCTTCAGAGGACAGGTAGTTACGCTCTATCAAGTACAATGTGTGTGACATGTTGCATAGAGGGCAAAACAAGCATATTGGGTAATGGCTCACAGCTGGACTTTTGAAGTTAGGAAGATCTGGAATAAAGTATTGGTTCTGCTATAGAGTAGTACTGGGGTCTTAGGCAAGCTATTTCACCTCTTCCTCAGTTTCATCCTTTGTAATACATGTAGGACAGTAACAGTAGCTTCTTCATTGGGTTGGTGAAATAATCAGATGAGATCAAGGATTGAAGAACCCAGAACAGTGCCCTGTCACTGAAATCATCACTGTTACCATTATATTAAAATTAATAATACTGCATGAGGAATGTTCTAGCATACGCTCTACAATCTGACTTAGTAGAAACCATTTTATGACTCAGCATGGGAGGGAGCTATGCATGTGGTTTGGGACATATCGCTATTATCCAGAAAACGTAAGTTAGAATCTGGTCTCTACAACCTACTAACGCAGCAAGTGACATGTGTAGTCTGCGCCTCACTTCCCTATCTGAAGCATGAGAATATTTACCTCTGGAAGTTGTTGAGAGGATAAAATATGCAAAAAAAAAAAGCTTTGCTCATATAAAAGACATGTGTAGTCTGCGCCTCACTTCCCTATCTGAAGCATGAGAATATTTACCTCTGCAAGTTGTTGAGAGGATAAAATATGCAAAAAAAAAAGCTTTGCTCATATAAAAGATACTGAGGAATGACTACTTCCTTCCTTCCATCTCTTGGGTCAAAGGAATTACATGCTTCAAAACTAAGTTGTCAGGATTCAGGGGTAGAATCAAGAGTAGTTTCTCTGAGAGTTAAATTATGGCATTCATGAAAAATTAATGAGCTGAAGAGTAGAAATAATCTCAGACTGATAATGTCAGAGGAGCCATGCTGGTGATGGTGACATATCTGCACATGTGAAAAATACCAAGGGCATTCATCTTTGTTGAGCATGGAATGCTGAAATATAGAAAATACAGGAGCCCACGAGATAAATTTTGATATCCTCAAGGAGTAAACCAAATAAACGCCTCGTCTGTTTCCTGCACCAAGGGTTTCCCTCTCACAGAGACAGATGCAAACAATCTGATGCCATTACACGTTATTATCACTCCACCTAGATGGCAAATAGGTTTCACGTTACCTGCCAAGTCCTAATGAATTGCAGTGGAGGTTCTATAAGGCTGTGACCTCAGCGGGGATGAGTGCCATGATTGATTGGCCCTGTCTGCCACGAGTCAGGAGGAGGGCTGGGACGGGGCACCTTCAGAACTTCTGAGTGTAATCCAAATTTCATAATCTTTTCTGTACACAGAATAACCTGATATCTAAGAGTCCAGTTCTCTTAATCATTATATTTCTGGCTTGTAAATTATTCAGTTGGCATTCTAGTTCATTGACTAGTCTTTTGTGAGCTTAGCTACTCCAACTGGGCAGCAGCATCCATTCTCAGTAAATTGACAAAGTCAATTTTCTGAGTCAGTAATTTTGATAAGCAAAGCCCACACTATGGTAAATTCACAAAGGTAAATCTTATGTGACTTCTCAATAGCCAAATGGAAGGCTGGTTTTCCTGGTAAGAAAATAACTCGAACAGATACTTCCTTTAGACTTCAACAAAGACTGTTTTTATTCAGTTTCATCATTTCCAATTTTCATATTTTGTCTTAATTTTTTCTTCATTTTCTTAATTTTTCTTAATTTTTTCTCCACAGATCTGCTCTTGTCAGTCTTAGACAATGTTTAATTCTATAGGAAAGCTCTCACCATCTCCCATTTTGAAGTTTAAAACCAGCGAGAGTACTTGGAGTAGAGACATTAGTTCTTTCTCAGTCTAGGATTTCATCAGCCTGTCAACATTAATCAGGTCCTCACCTTCCTTTTGATTCTTCCACCTTTCTTTCCCAAACCCAAATCAACTGAGTTCTAGCCCATCTGTGACAGCATCAGTCCTTTCTCATGCCCCCACACCAGCCTGATGAAACCTGTGGTTTATCATTTTACCTTTCGAACATTTGCCAACCGATTCATCATCAAGGACTCCTCTCGGTCATCATCATCATCCAGGTCCAGCATGGGCATTCCAAAGGGGTCGATGATGCTACAGCACCTGGAACCTTCATCTCTTGGATCAAAGGGGTCCACGATTATGGGCTCTGTTCCTTTTATTTCACAGCGACAGAAGGGACAGCCCTGGCCGTCCGACTCCTGCACAAACAACAACAACAAAAATGTGATTGGTCTTTGTTCAAATAAAACAGTGCTGAGGGGCCAATGTTCTTCAACTATAAGAAGAAGTTGCAAACAAGAGGTTTTAGGGTAGGAAGTAAGAGTGAAGGAAGATCTGACTTGAAGAAGTAATAGAGCAGAACAGAGAGCCAACAAAATACATGATAAATGTTCAGTATCTCACATTTTCAAAGAAAAACTCTAAAAAAAGTTTGATTTGCCAAAGAAAAGGAGCCTAACTTTATTTTCCTGAATATTCACTTACAATTGTAATGTATCAAAACTTGAGAGTTCTATAGAAAACTGGAAATTGAATCATTTCCCCCTTTACCAAAAGGCTCCAGTGCTAGTGAAACATTCTATAAAAAGGACATTTTGAGGACACCTGGGTAGCTCAGTCGGTTGAGCCTCTGCCTTCGGCTCGAGTCATGATCCTGAGGTCCTGGGATGGAGCCCTGCATTTGGCTCCTTGCTCAGTGGGGAGCCTGCTTCTCCCTCTCCCTCTGCTTTCTCTCTCTCTCATGTAAATAAATAAAATCTTAACAAAAATACTTTAAAAAAAAGAAAGGACATTTTGAAAAAAATTCATTATAAATAAAGTAGTAGTATCAAGTAAACAAGCCATTCTGGAAAAGTTCCTGTGCATATAACTATGGCTAAATATTTCCATTTAATTGCCTAGGTATTTTAAAATCTTGTTTTTATAATCAGTGGGAAAAAAATAAAGTAAATTGACATCTAGGAACCATCAACTGTCCTGAGAACCTGTCATTCTGACACAGCTCATTTGGAATATAACACCAGGTAAATTTTAAATTTTACCCCTCATCTTGCTTCCAAACTAGATACTGCAAAAAGATTTGTGTAATACTTTTAGGCCAGAAACTCATTTATTGGTAATTATTAAAGGTTTTGTCTACCAATTCCATTTCTCAAAACTCACAATTGGCAAGGAAATAGAACAAGACTGTTTCCTCATCCTGCACATAATGCTGCCTTCTAGAGTAGATGGTATATGATACTCACCACCATATTTGTTTCTGCATTTTACCCTAATTTTAATCGTGTGTTATTTAAAAAATAGCAAAAAGCATAAAATCATTTTAAGGCAGAAATGGAATGAATTAAAACCATTTTAGAGATGAGACAAGGGATGCAAAGAGAGCTAACATCTTTAAAAGAACCATTTAGTACTTAACTCAAGACTGTCCCACCCACTTGGTATGATGGGAAACTGGTTATCTGCAAGCCCTACACTGATGCTCTGACCAGCAGTGGAATAACACTTCTGCTCTTCCCTCTCTGAACAATTGCTGGGCATCCACTCGGGCAGAGCCTGTGGTCGCTGGTTATTCTTTCCCAAATATCACTCAGATGAACAAAGTGAACATCTCCTTTTGCCATACATATGTCAAAAAAAGAAAAACAAATGCTCTCCGCACTGGTTAATGAAAAGAAAGCACAACATTCCCTTATACATCTACTGTTAGATAATTTGGGAAAGGAACTTGGGATGGTAAACTAGGTGAGCTAAGGTGGTGTGGAGAAATACAGGCAGGCTGATAGAAAATCCTTTGATGTTTACTGCTACAAATGTTTACGTTGGTGGGCTTCAAGGCAACTTAAAGATTTTGTGCCATCATTTTACAGATGATAAAACTAAAACTTGATTCTTTTGTACGACATTAACATTTCCTAACACGGGAGTAAACATTTAAGGAAAGCTAAACCTTTCTCCCGTCTTTTGATAACAAGAACATTAAACGCCAAGTGTATTGTCGACATAGGTTATCATCTAGATAAAATCCCCTTATCATTACAGTCTAAAGGGATCCATATTCTGTGCCTGTGAGAGCGTTTTCGTACAGATCTACGCGAAATAATTTCAAAGATAGTATATCTGATATAGAAGAGCAAGATGGGAAAGGGCTGATGTTCCCTGGGTGTCTTCAATGCACGAAGGATGGAAAGTAGTACTCTGGGCTCTAAGTAGACACATCATTCATTCAGACATTTAAAAAAATTATAGAAAATTTCAAACATATGCAGAAGCAGAGAGAAAAGTGTAATGAATCTGTACGCACCCAACTTTAACAATTATCAGTTCCTGTCCAGTCTTGTTTCATTGATACCTTTACTTGCTCCCTCCACCCTTGGCTTATTTTGAAACACATCTTACCTATAAATGTTTTCGTATGTGTATCTAAAAACAGAAAATCATTTAAGACCTAACTAAAGTATAATTACCGTTAACTAAAAATTAGTCCACCCGATCTAAAACATTGAAGTCAGTATTTTTTTAGCACAGTGCCTGGAATGTTTAAGTCACGGTATTCAGCTATAAAAGCTTCTCTTAGAACTTCCGAGGCCAATTTGCTATCTTTTCTTGGTTAAGGATGACTTCCAGTTTATGCCATCCATTTCATGAGAGAAGGTAACTGGAAAGATGAGTTTGGAAAAGGGAAGAGGGGAAGGGCAATAATAGCATCTTGATGGCACCAAGGAAAAGACTAGGAATAGTGCATCTATAACTGAAGTTAGTTTTTCTCCATCTCTGCTATCTGAAAGTTTAATACTGTACAAATTACTGATGTATGTTAGAGTTGTGGGTTTTAGGAATTTGGATCAGAGAGCATATTTTCTGTTTAGCTTTATCTCTGTTGAGAGTTCACATGACTCACTAAATTAATAACAACAACAAAAAATCCCCCCCAAAAGCCTGAGTTGCAATGTACACACACTTTGATTTGCAGACATGGATCCCACTGAATCTGTCTCCCTAATGGTATTTACTCAAATATGACTTTACCCATCACTGTCTCTGTAAACTGACTACTGCCATATGCAAATTAAGTTTAAGCATAAATTCTCGAATGCCACTTTGGTACTCTGCTCTAGTTCTGTCAGATGGTTGATTGAATACACATGAAGAATGTCTTCAACAGACATATAACTCATCAGGATTGTGACTCAATAATTAACATAATGTTTCTGTCAACATATACTTAATGCAAGATCAAGGAACATATGTTAATAAAGAACAAAGACCAATAAATAATTCCTTTCCCAGTCCTCAACATATTCACATCCTGAGAATGTTAAGAGGAAGTACTTGGGACTCCATCCGTTCTAATTGATTCAGTAGATTTTACTTCCTCGAATAAGAAATCCTTCCAAACCAAAGATACAGAAGTTATCAGTGAATACTACACTCATCTGAAACTAAACTATGTAATATGCTCATGACAAAATAATTCAGACTCATATGCCAACCATTAATACTGTTAATGATATTAAACATAAACATAACTTTAGGTAACCTGAGAACAAATTAACACTTGACAGAAAAATAGAAAAAAAAAATTCTTTAACTTCCCAAATTGTCCAGTCCCCAGTCACATGCTACGTAAAAATCCAAATAAATATCAGTATCATAACATCATCATCATCATTATCATCATCTTGCAATGGGTCAGCTTCTATATTCTTTCTGCTTAAATATTGTTCAGATGGATATTACCTCTTAAATAGCTTCTTTAATTTCTTTTTAAGATACACATATATAGTACAATTTATTTGCTCTCAGGATGATTATTATTAAAGGTCACACTTTAAGGTTAATCACTTCATGGCTTCCCATCTATTCAATATACATGGAGAACCCTGAAAAATAACTAGGACTTCCTGAGTCTCATTTTGGAGTGTATTTTATATTTTTTACTGTGTGTGTATATATGTGCTTTCTGTATCAGTGACTTCTAATTTATATTACTTTGCTATATTTCACATAGATTTGAAGTTACCATAAATCATTTCTGTAAAGCATGGAACAATTATAAATAAGTAAATAACTGGAAAAATACACACCTATACTGAGAATAAATTGGGTCCACACTAAGCATTTTCAGAGCACAATATTTCCTACAGAAATTCAATAACTTCTTGTTAAAACAATGAATGAGGATAGTTAATAGTAACCTTAGAAAGAGATGGTTGGTTTTGGTGCTCTTTTACGAGGAGCAAGGTAAAGAAGATGTTGGTGAATCTAGATTCTTCTAGTTTTAATTTGTGAGGCCCACAAAAACAGCAAATCAGAAAAAGAGCACAGACATTCTGAATCAGGACACGTGAATTAGAATCCCACACCTACCAATTACAGCTGTGTGACACTGGGTAAGCCATTTCATCTTATTTGTAGGGCATAATGAGGGAATGTACAGTTTAAGGGATATTTCACAGATAAAGATAAATTAATTCGAAGCTTTCAAAGTGCTTGCAAATTGTGGCATAATTACTATAAAAATAATTTCAAAAGCAAAGAAATATAATAAGATAACTGAGGAAACCTGCCTTAGCATCTGAAAATAATTCACATATCCACAAGAATTCCCATCTTATAATGAAACGAATACAATTTTAAAACCACAGAATCACCACTGTTCATAAATTAAGAATATCAGAAATAGGAGACAGCTTTGTAAGTGATACTATCAGTTACTACCATTAGGAAAAATACTAACTAAAATTTCAGGTACTATTGTAAGCACTACCCATATATTAACTAATTTAACCCTATGAGGTAGGTACCATTATTATCCCCCTTTCACCAATTAGAGAATGGAGAGTTGACATAATTTGATGGAGGTCATGAAACTGAGCAGCAGTGAGCAGGAAATTACATCCAGGAGGCCTAATGAGCCTAGTCATTCCATCACTATCCTACCACTATCCTACACTGTAACATAAGGATGTAGTGGTTCCTCAATATCAGATTCATAACCTAGGTTAAAATAAAAGTTTAAAAATAGCTGTCTAATACTGATCATTCAAAAATGAAAAAAAAGTATTTTGTTCAAATCGCAAATTTCAAAATTAAATAAACTACTATAATCAATAAATATCGTTTGCTCTAATTGAAAAGTTTCAGCTTTTAAAAGGAAGATGAAAAACTTGTCCTAGTAATTAGAGTATTCCTTGGG